AGCAGCTGGCAAATTACCAATTCCAGATGTTGTCATTCGACAAGGCTATACGATATTTATCTTTAAAACTTGAAAAAGCGATTTAAAGCATTATATGTATCTCTTAACTATTTAAATCTCTACTTTACTACAGTTTATAATACATTTAACTGATAATTTTTACAGGCATGTGTTTGCTTATTATAATCAATAAATACGCTCCTAATTAATCTCTACTATTAAATAATGAAGAATCTGTACGTTTGTATGTTACTTTTGATTAACAAACTCATCATTTAATAGATAGAAGTGGCAATATTGTTCGAAATAATATATTTTCATCTCCAATACGCAAGACTGTTGCCAGTTGGCAAAATGTAAGATAGTTATCTTTCAATTTTAATCCACAAATTCGGTTATTTGAAAGAAATGTTTTGGCACTGCTTCAAATAGAATACTCATTACCTCTACGCACCGACGCGTTGCCATTCAGTAAAGTGTAAGATATTCACTTTACTGAATGGCACACAACTTTCCATATTTAATTTTTCTGTTACTGAGACACTGACTGCGTCGCTGTCCTCTTCCTATCACAACAGTATCAAAAATGTAAATTGCAAAGTCTCTTTCATTACATGAATTTAAAATTTTATTTTATTTCGTTTCACAGTCTATTTATAACTGTACAGCTAGATGCCTCCTCATTGAGTTGCCTTTTTTGTGTGGCCATGCAAGATCTTTGTTGAGTTTATAAAATATAATATTTCTCCATGCTCTCATCCTAAAAAAAGAACTCGCAGATAACGAGCTTCTCTTTGAACGAGGAAGTTCGATATAACAAGAACGGGCAATGGGAATAGAAGAAATCATCTGACGTCATACCCGGCACGTGTTCTTCGAAGGAACTAAACTCCACCGGTTTCTGGGTCAGTTTCATTAATAACGGCAGAAGCAGAATACTGTTGTCCGTCTGTGGGTCGCGAATAGAACGAACCTAAAGAAGGAGGTGGTGGTAGTGGAAGAAGTAGCAGCAGTGGGGCGATAGGGGTGTTCCAGACCGTTGCCAGCTCTTAGTAATTACACACGGGTCAACAGAAGGGTCGAAGGCAATCCAGAATATGAAGAGAAGGGGCGAATAGAAATGGAAACGGTTAATGATCGTCTCCCGCTTTTGATTAGAGCAAGCGATCTTTTTTGGGAATCCCTGGCTGTTGTTACATGGATGAGAAAGGGTCATGTTAAAGAACACCGTTCTGACTCCAGATATTATACCGATTTATTCGTTTTCTTTCAGGTATCATCGTAATGACCACATTAAAGAGGGGGGGGGTAGATAGAATGTCGTTTGTAGCTCAGTAGGTGCTAAAATTAATTGCTGTATGGTGAACTAGTTGTTAAAATAAATGATAACAAAACGACTGGTGCCATATCTATAACCACTGGTGACCACTGCCTCAAATAGAACACTCATTACCTGTACGCACCGACGTGTTGCTATTCAATAAAGTGTAAGATATTTAACTTTCATACTTAATTTTTATATTACTAAGTGTTTAATTTTCTGAAGATGTGACACCCGTCAACTTCCTTTGTTTGTTTTATTCTACTTCAAGTACTGCTCCAATAAGCTCAAGTTTTCTTTGTGAAGAATGATAAAATGGATGACAGAAAGCTCCTTTTAATATTACTTTTAGTAAATGGGAAGAACAGTTTTAAAAAGGGGAAAAAGGAAGATGGATAGATGAATTATTTCGACCTGAATGCATTCTGCGTTCGGTAACAGGAACTGCCAATTTTGTATTTTTTTGAGCAAAACCACCATGTAAGATCAGAATTACCCTATTCCCCTCTTTTTGTAACAAATTTTATCGTCCGAAAATCTAGAGAGAAAAATTATGGCAGTAATTTAATTTCCAAAGGACTCGATTATTCAGAGCATAACAAATGTAAAGTAGTCATGGATAAACACTGGTAACTTTAATCACAATATTATTTCTTTAAAGAAACATACATTCCAATAGAAATACATAGAAATATCAACATTACTTTATCTGACAGATACTGAGGCAATATCTGATAGTAACTGAGCGAGACACTGAATCACCTTATAAAACCCCCAGGAGCACCTCATATGAATGAATCTTCATTACAGTTCCCAAAAACCACATTGGAGGAATGAAGAAAAACCAGGGGGCAAACGAATTCGAAAAATCGAACCGTCAGCAGTAAAAAAGGCTACAATGAGCTGAAACGTAAATTATATAAGTAAGGGGGAATTACATGTTGGGAAAGGTTCTACTAAAAGGTGAGAGCATTTGTAGCTTAACGAACAATCTGCAGAAAATACGTCTCAGATAGTAAATGCAGAGGAAAATAAAGTGGATGAAATGCTAATATAAAAATGCAAATACAAATTGAATACATAGGATACAATTTACCAATAAACTAGACCTCAAAAGGAAAACTAAGTACAATACAGAAATGGGAAAATTACGCAAATATTTTTAAAATTTCCAAAACCTAGCGCTAAAAACTGGGGGAGGGAAGGTTAACAGTTAATGAAAATCTGAGAATTATGCGAGAGAAATATTGTTGAAGAGAAACAGTGAAACGATTTTAAAGTATTATTTATTCTAGCAAAGATAACACAAAATATATAAAGAACTTCACTTGGAAAGAAAATCAAAGTAAAGATATAAAATGCACAGACAAATTATTGACATCGAAATTGTTTTGCATTCTTCACAACGTAGAACCAAAAGCAAGGACTAATCTAACCTCTCAGACAACGTAACGACAACCGTTTAAAAATAGAATCCCACAGTTCCGTGTTATCATATCGTTACATATATTGGAATTAAAAATACCGCATTAAAGCACAGAAGCCAATTAATGTGCAGTGATACCTCTGTATATGTCGGCTTTAGAATACGTCCAACTTGGTAAACGTCCCATTTGGACGAGAAAATCGTTGCTTAACATATGACATTTGGAATACGACTCGAGTTCGACGAAATGACGACTGTTCACACTACATTTGTTTACCTCTTCCAAATAATACTACAAACAGTTTTGCACAAAAACAGGGTAATAAATGAACGATAACCTCTGATGCTCGATCTGATGCTAAATTCTTTGCCAAATAAATGGATTCAAAAGCTTTGTAGAGAAGACCCATCCCAACAAAGGTCCAACAAACCGTTACAGCATGTCTAGAATGACCAAACAATATCAGATATCGGAAACATGTTAATGAGAAGGCAGAAGCAAAGTTCTTAGGACAGAATTTTAGTAAAAGTCAGATCTGGTAATCTACAGTCAAGTTCAAGTAAAGACCAGACAGAAGAAACGCGACAGAAAAGAGAGAAATAAATTTGATAATTTTTTTATTAATGACGTATACCGAGGTACAACTGTATTCAGCTAAGTACTAGCGTCCCTCTTCTACAACTGTTGTCTTTCCTTGAATGAAACTGCAACACCTGCTTCAGGCCTTGCTGGGAAACCCTAAAACAAGGCGTCAGTGTACGATCTTTGAATACGAAATTACTATTAATGATCCGTCTTCGAGACAGAGAAATGCATTTTATATTTCAAGAGTTTCAATCAAGTATCATTTTTGGATTCGGGGGGGGGTGGAAGTACATATAAAATGATAGATTGAATCCTCCACCACGTGAAAATGTTCCAAGAATTTGTTACATTCATTGGTACATTTCTCAAATACCATCTCGACTGCCTCAGAATTGCTATGCTCTAGAGACAAATCAGTACAGCTTGATTAACACAGTGCAGAAAAACTAAACAGAAAAATCTCTCATCGAAGTCATTATCCAAATATAACTCTTGTCTTTTTCAACTTCAAACTTTTTAACGAGTTTAACAAACACAGGATAAAATTCAAGAGAGGCATACAACGATCGAACTACTACGTATTCATATTACGTAAAAATTTACAGCAGTTACATGATCCCCTGAATTGAAGTTAAAATATGTCACGTCGTCAGTAAGATGGATGACAACAATTACACTTCAAGGCACCATTTAATAGAAACAGCTTTAATATATTTATTTTCATGCATTAATTTTGACTACTTCAAACTTCTCCACTGCTAACATCCCACAACTTTGTACTGAAGCTCAATCAATAAAAAAAAAATTATAATCATATTCTAATAGTTATAAAAATTCAAATAGCGAACAATAAAAAAGTTACACAATAGAATTAGAAAAGCTTGATTAAAAGCTAGAAAATTATGAGGGTTTTCTACTCTGCCCCCCGAGGGGGATAATAATTTCGAATGATTAAAACCTTGGACAAATGGATAGGCTGCCGAAATTACATACACTTTGCTACAATGTAATAAAGAAGTCAGAGTTACAATATTATTATTTCACTTGAAATATTCACACTGGCTGGGAGGTTACAAAAAACATTACATGATAAAACTCACCAGCATTAGTAAACCATTTAGCAGACATTTGGTAAATTTTTCAGCGTCTTAAACTGCACACTAAATAATAATATTTTGCTGTATTCCGCTGAAGAGCAAAAAGGAAGTAATACTGGAAGCAATTACAATGATTAATAAGCTTGAAAATTATGAAACCTTTATTATGAAATACCTTGTATCTTGTTACATTTAAATTTACTCAATGATTCTGTAACTATTATTTTTTTTATATAATAAATTACCGTTTATAATCTTACGGTATTTAACTTTTTGAATAGCTTTACAGTTCAAAATTGTGTTTCGAGATTGTCATTGCTTACTGATTGTGTCCTTATAATAATAATAATAATATACTAATGCAGCCAATGAATCAAATTATTTACAACTATACGTTAAAAAGAATAAATGACGCGGAAAAAAAAAAAAAAAAAAAGAAGAAGAAGAAGCGGGGGAACCAGAACAGCAAGTACATTAAGTGATTTAAAATGTAGAAATGACCAGAACAGTATTATAAATACAAATGACCCCCCCAAAATATATATATATATATATATAATTTAAATTTACCTCTTCTTAACTTGGACTTTCTTCGGACGCGGGATCTTTGGCTGCGCCGACGATATACGAAAGTTTTCATGATCATTTTTCAATACGATGAACCAATCACAAGATGGCTACTTTTTAACACTCAACTTAATACCCGGATTTACATATCCACATTGCGCAGAAGCCATATATTTAATCCTGAACAGTAATTATGACGAAAAATTATGACATACTGCTTTAATTCTTCGGAAGAGCAGTTCTCTAGTGCATTGAATACGAATCAAGTTAGATGTAACATTGTAGAGCAAAAGCTCTATTATAATCCAGATTACTGTAATAAAATCTTTAATGTTTCTAAATTCTGATCATCCAGCTACAAGACACATGATTTGTAACAATCTACTGCAGGCAAATAGTCACCAACTGACCAGAGTATATCTTACAGTGCTCTCGCAGATAGCTAATTTCCTTAATAGCAACGTATTATGCATATACACAACACTAATATCTCTTTAAATCCAGATCACACAAGAATAATCCTTTGATAAAAGAACTACGTGATATTTAAGTCGCTTTCACGATCACTATCAGGCCTTCAACGACACTCGAAGCACAGATGTTTCGTTATCACACCAAAACCTCTCCTCTTATAACAGTATCACATCATGGGCAGAACAAAGCACGGCAAGAATAAGGCGCAAAAAATCGAAAACCTGCAAAGGGGGAAGAGGTGGATACGGCGTACGTTGCGAAGTCCAATTAAAAAACAGACACGACCTTTAAAAACACTTGCCGATTTTTATGCTAACCAACCATGCGGATCGGAATGACATAAAAGGGAGAGCAGAGGGGAGATGCCTAGGAGATATTATCATCATCATTCTACGCGTTCTCCAGGGTGTCGTGAGGACATTTTCCTCCATTCAACTGCAAGTCGATTTGCACATAATGGCGCATACTCCAATGGAGAAACGATACTCCCTCTTTTTTTTTTTCTTTTGCTATTCTGAGAATAAGAGATGATTTGTAGATGCCCGGCACGCTCAGTAGTTCGGTAATCCACCAATGGTTGAAAAAGTCAAATGTGTATTTAAGGTATCTATCATGGCTTTGGAACATTACCCTTCTAAAATATCAAGGTTACATTTGACAAAAGAATAACAAACACTTCGCAAGCTTAATCATTCCATAATTCTTCGAGGATTGACTAAAAAGGTCATTCTTTTGGTTACTTGGACTGAGATGTAAACTGGAAATAAAGTAACAAAAAATTAATGAAACTACCGAATAATATGGTATAGAATAATGTTTTTAAATGTTCTAATATGAAGAAGAATATAATATGTTCTATAATGAAGAAAATAATACTTCCAGAATCTTTTTTAAAGAAGCTTATTTCAGGCGCAATATCTTAAATCATTTATCTGTAGTAATAATCAATCAATTTAAATGCGCTATTTCACGTATGAAGAAGTTTTTAAATATAACTTCTGAGCAAGGTGCAACTTCATGTAACACGCAACTTTTTCGGAGTTCTTAAGTTATAAGACGTGCAATATACACATCGAAGTAAAATGCTTTCAGACTCTTCTTATGCATCGTTCCTTACCTTAATGCATCGTTCAGAAAACAAAGAATAATAATCAGCATGACCGCAATAAATTTCAAGAGTATATTTCTAACTGATAAGAACTTTTTATTAAAAGCATCAATGCCTGATTCGAAAATATCCTACCTCAGGCAATAAATCTGCGTCGTTAAAAAATCTGAGTTTACCACACAAGTTTTCTTGGTACGTAAATGACAACTTACAAACCAGATACGAAGGCAATTAGAACAGTTGGGTTATAATGCAACAAGAAAACGCTTCTTCATCAACGCCGAATCTAAAAGATGAGGGTAATGATCCATCTTATATCTCGAAAAACAAAATGGCTCAATTTCTTTTCCAAAAGCATTAGCAAGATATGACGCAGCATATACTGAACACGTAATAAAAGGAGTAGTTCGGAAAGCGTTTCGAATCCAGGCAGCACGCGATGAAAATATTGACGTCTGGATGAGAGTAATCTGCAGAAAGAAGAGTGGAAAGACAAGTTCTTATCCCAGTGGCACGTGACACCCACGATAATTTTTAGATCGAATGCACCAAATACAAAGTTGCCAGTCACGCCTCAAAGTTTGGAAGACATAAGCGTTCGATACTTGCATCAGTTCCTATTTTTATTATTATTATCGGTTTTCTTTTAGCACCAGCTGAGATTGGCCGCGTTCGAACAGAACTATTTTAACAGAAGTATGCCAAGAATAACAAACAAATTCGAAGATTCTTTCCAGTTACGAAATATATTTGTTCTCCGCAATGATTTATTCAAAAGAACAGCTTACACCTATGAAATTGTAATCACAAATGAAGTACAGAAAAATCACTGGCAGTTTAATTTGCTGAAAAGATGCCACATATTAAAGCAACACATACATAGCTTAAATTCTCCCTTTTAAGAGACTTTAATTTTCAGAATCACTGTTTACTAACACCTGCTGATTTCATGTAAACTTTGTACTTGATTATGAGAACGGAATGAAAACCATCACATAATTCTGCAAAATTTCTATTACATCATACATTTATTCGTCATATTCCTATCTTTGTGCACGAAGAAGAATATAAGAGGAAACACAGAAAAGAATGAATCGGTGCTTACAGTATGAGAGGATAACTACAAAGAATGCTTCTCCAAAAGGTACGCTATTCACTTTAACAATGCTAATGTTTCATATGAATATCCAAAAATGTACTGACAATGCGAAATATCTTTTACTCCGATGATGACGCCTGAAGAAAGTATTAACAACACGTTCAATTGAAGCGCTTTCAACTCTGGTTCACTACATCTTTCACAATCCACTGAAATAAATAGTAAGTTACTTCAACAATCAGACACGAATCATAATTACCCAGCACTAAGCAGAAATTCGCAATAATCCATACACTTGAACAATGGCTTTCATTGACTTTCTTAGCACAGATAATTTCGAGTTTAAGTGGGAAAATATCTCGAGTAATAAGAAACGAGCTTTTCTACACATGCTGAAACCACATCAAAGTCTCTCCGAGAGAGAACACTGCAAACGTGAGCACGGCATCGGGCAACTTTGTAACAAACTGAGTCAAATCCGCCTTTGTCGGCCACGGGAACAGTACGGATATTGTGGAAAACAAAACCAACTCGTTCTCTTCAAGAGGAATGAGAGCCCGGAGCTCTTTCTGAAAGGAAGGCACAACTTGAGAAACCTGCTTTTCCAGAGCATCCGCCCAGTAAATAGATGGAAATGAAGATGATGATGAGGCATAGAGTAACCTTGGCCTTGGTCGCCCTTGGTATGGGTTACTTGGTCACTTGATCAGTACGGACATAATATGGCAGAAAATTACATTTTTTTTGATAAGAACACCTAAAGAATTAGAAAGAAAATCTTCTGCGTATTTTATTTCTGAATTATCTTTCAATAACTGGTGGAAAGACGGCCATGCTATCTTTGTTACTGTGCAGAACAGAATTCTATAGTTTGCGAAAACAATACTTGATATTCTTTTTTGCTTATAATTATTCTTGATGAATTATTATAATTACTTTGGGACTTAAATTTTATTTACGTTGTAGAGTCATTAGTATTTTTTTAAAACCAAGAGGCGTGAAAAATGTGTATAATGCCCTTGCCGGGACTCGAACCTGGACCTCTCGAATACGCGATGAGTGTGCTACCATTACACCACGAAAGCATGCTCAAAAGGAAGGAGAAAATACCGTTACAATTAAAAATAATTGTCTAATATTTACGTCTTGTTGATACCTGAAATTCGAAATCCGACGAGGTTATTCGCTTTTACGAAGAAAGATTAAAAGTGGAAATACAATTCAGCGTTAATTTCAATGAGTGTAGAAAATGTGACCAGTCATGGTCAGATGTGGATGCATGCTGCCTTAAAACAGTTTTTGCAAGATTTTCATTGCTTATGCAGAGGTGGATCTAAGCAATGCAGGTTCAGCTTCACCTGAATTTGGGAAAAGAAGGGCTTCTTACTGATGGCAGGGCAATTAAATGAAATATTTTTAATGAAATCACATATATTAAATGAAATTACAATATAAAACTAATAAAATTAATTTTATTTATCAAACTAGTAAAAAATAGAACAATAATCTCATATTAAAATTACAGAAACCCGAAAGTTCTGTAGTGCATTTTTCATAACAAAAATATGAATACTAATCGAATGAACCTATTACAAGAATCTGCATTTATATAAATACAAACCTCTCTCAAACTAGATTAGCAGTATTTTTAAAAATCTTCTCAATTAATTCCAATTTAGGCTCAAAATTCAAGTTACTATATTTACATTAAAACTCGTTTACCTCTGTGCCTAAAATAATGGCACACATTACGAATTTATAACTAAATAAAAGTCACAGTTACGTATATGAAGGATGAACATAATCAAAACGCACAAAACAAAACGAACGGCGCTAATTTTCATGATTTTTGTTCGGTAAATCATTAAATCCGATAAATCTAGAGTCTATTTATTCATTTTATTTAAACTGAAATAGAAAAAATTTAATCGTGCTTTACAAATACGTACTTATGAATGAAACGCTAAACGTAACAGTAACATAGAATTCCATTGCTGCACCTCAGAATTTATAATTCTGAACATTTTTAATATTGCTCTCCACTAAAAAAATTAACAGAGGCATAACATGTTTAGGAATTTTCTCTTAAAAAACAGATTCTTTTGTCCTACAGATCATCATCAGCATATAAAAGTTTCACAAGCAAACCAATTACTTTTACACTTGAACTCAAATTACATGCGAGCCCAATGCATATTTAAACGCAGCTAACGAGCCGATTTTTTTAAACCAAAATGAAAAGTTTTTGTTTTATAAAAACAAATATTTTTAACAATATTTTAAACTGTATTTACTAAATATTTATGAAAACATATGTAAACAGTAATAATAATGTTGGAAAGGGAAAATTTCCAATTTATATTTATTGCTAGTCAGAAATCTAAAAGTTGGGATCTGCAAGAAATTGTTGTTGATTACACTTTGTAATTCAAATGTACTGACAGCTTAACAATAAATTTTCAGACTGACATTTATTTTAAACAATTTTAATGCGTAAAACTAACCACTAATTTACTTAAACTAAAATATATTACCAAAAACTTACCAATTAGGACAATACTTCAGTATAAATAATGACAACCTTTCTTTCATTTATTAAATTTTTCTTTCTCGCATGTATAAAAATACATGTATTTACATGTAATTATGAATTCTGTATTTCTTACTGCAGATTTCGGCTACATCTCATGGTATTTCATTTTGCATTCATTTTCGATATTTGACTCCCAGTTTATAACTCTTGAAGGAGAACTAGAAACTATATAAAGAATTACTGATGCTCATCCATCAGCCTGGTTCTTCTTTTCTTACGCATAATAATTTTCAGTAATGGGGGGGGGGGAATCTTCTCCTGTAAATATACTCCCAAAAGCGATTACCCTAACTGCAGAAACTGAAAAAAAGTGAGGATCTTTTGACAATACGAAAAAGAGGTTAATCAAATCTTTATCCTCTTTGAATAAGATTTATGTCACTGCGTAAATTAATTAGTTGAATTTGTAGATTTTCTGGGGCGCTACTGAATTTAATCCTTAATGGTAATGAAAATAATATAAAACTACACTCAAAATCTC